AAACCTAATACTGTTCCAAAAGGAAATGATCTAATGAGCAGCATGATTCACAGTAATGTTCTGAAGAGCGGAAGTAGAGGTACTACTTAAATGAGAAAGGAACACTTTCATGATGGTTCCAAGGAAGCTGAAAAGAAAACACACAGAAAACATACAGGATATGCCTGCTGAAGCAAGTCCTGCATCCTTTAACCATGCTCAAACCCTTACTTGATCTGAGTTTGGGGACATATATGTAACACACTACAAAACTGTAACAAAAACACTAAATATCTCATGCACTTGATTATATATAGGGCCCTTCAATCACTGCTTGTTCACCCCTGGTGCCCTGTTGCTGACAGAACAGAGATTCATTACTGCTCTCCAGCATCTTGTGCATGTATTGTACCAGGTATCTCTAATGTACAAAACGACTAAAATGAAAAACTCAAAATAAGATCTGCATTGAATAATTTTTCTTTTATGCCTCAATACTGTAGATTTATAACTAGGACTAGGCATGCTAAATTAATTACTGTTCAATGGAGAAAAATCACAGAATTTATATTTGATATCCAAAGAATATATTGCACAATTCCCCACAGTGGGCCCTAAAACAGTCCTGGTTCACTCTCCCAAGTGCCGGAGAGTAAAGGTGAATAACCATGCCTCACTAAGTTTTACTTTATCCAACCACTGAAATATTGGTAAATCATGATCAACAAAGAATCCCAACCTTAAACTGGCATAATGGCAATGCATATCATCCCAGCAGTCACTGAGCTACAAAAACCATCAAAAGATAGTTAAATATTTGAGGTTACAAGCTCAAAGAAAGTTTTCATAGTTTAGTTTCTGTAAAATGAAAACAATGACCCCTTGAAATCTTCCACATCCTGAGGCAACCCCTCTCATTCTACTTCAAAGATGGTGTCCACAAAACTGTTTAATGTACACAAACGCCAGTCTCCTAACTTCTAATTTTACCTTAAAAATCATTACAAGATTGAGTTAGTGATAACAGAATTTATATTTATCTATTACTGAGTTCTCTTTCTTAAAACCTGTTTCTTTTAGTCAACCAGAAGATTTGTGAAGCAAGCACACAAGTCTTCCTTTAGGCTTACTCTTAAGAATAATCTGATACTCAGAGATCTCCTAAGTTGTTAAGTCCTACTATTTTGTAGACAGGCCACACTGACTCCATTTTGTCCTGGACACATCCAGTTGACAGTGTTTTGGTAGAAAGTGCAGGCCTTGAAACTTTCTCCTTCATGAGGTAAAATATGAGGTCCCATAAGGACAAGAAGCAAGCAAGTCATATAATCTAAGCATGTGCAATACAAGTTTCTGTGTTCTTTTCCTCAATAAAAACTGTTTTCTTATGCTGGCTGGGTGGCAGCCACTTTGCTGCCCCTTAGTGTGTGTGCCCCTTTATTTTCCCCTTGTTTGCAGAGCCCCTACATCTGGCTCCTGAACAGGGGACTTGACAGTGGGTATGTCTGCCATGGAGGATGACTTGCCTTCCCTGTGTTCCTGGGGTGGGACATGGCCCCCAACGTGTCAAATTCATTTTTTTTTTTTTTTTTTGGAAAATCCCTGGGTAAGTCATGGGAAATTCCTTGTCTAAAGTGCAACAGAAATGTAAGGTAGAACTGCTTTTTCTCCTTAAGAAGGCAGGCCATGGGCTCCCCCCAAGTGTAATTTAGTACAACTTTTGTAAGAAATTCACAATTATTGTCCTTGCTATCCTGAGAGAGGTACACTTATTATGGAGGATTGGGAAAAAGATAGCAAACTGCTGCATGCGGGGCCTCAAGCTCCCATCTCTGTCCTGCACACCTGGCATCTCTGCTGGGATGCTGCTGCCATCTTTGGCAAGCAAACAGATTGCCACATGGCTGACTTCCAAGTCCTCCCAGGTGTGCCCCGCTTCTGCTGTCTCTACTTTAATTGGGCAAGGCTCTACTTTCCTGTGACCACTCGACGGTTAGCTCCTCTATTTGATGCTTTATGGGGTCACACAGTTCCTGCTGAGGTGAGCTCTGATTCTCTCCTCTACAGCAGACCCTTCAGAGCACGGCTCACGCACTCACCACAGTTATGAGGAATTGAGCCCCGAAGGCCTGCCTTCTCTCCTTACATTTCATTTAGCACCCTTGCCACAAGGGCTCACATTGCCATCCAGAAGAGCAAGGTATTTATTGTTGAATGGCTACATTTACCCCACTTCCCTAGTGGTGCTTATTTCCCATTATCAATGTTATTTCCTATCTTATCTCTGGAGGACATACTCGAGTACTTATACTCCTGGGGACTGATGTGCTGTCACTGTTTTACCACTTACCAAAGCTGACTTCTCCTCTGCTTTCCCCTACTGTTTCTCTTCAAGTTGCTTTGGCTGTGTTGGTTCCATTTCTTTCAACACACCCCCAGACCCAACTTGGCAGGGGCCAGCACCTCTGCTGATCTGGGAAGGAAGGGATGCTTCAGTGCTATCCCCAACAGGCCCTATGTGGACTCCTGCTCACTGTGTTTGAAATGAATTGATACCATGGGCTGCACAACCCAATTCCAGTTTCACCTCTCCCTAAATCAAGCCCAGCCTCCTTGAAAGCAACCCAGGACCATGACTGCTGGCCAGTGACCTGGTGTGATATGAAGATGCTGACCCAGTCTGCACAAAACTAGCTCCACGCATCTGAAGAGAAACCAAATGCCAAAAAGCTTCTTGTGGTGGAATTTACCAAACTGACAATGAACTCTTTAGTACCTGTTTGTATTTGTAGCCCACCATGGGGACCTTAGCATTGCATGACCTCCAGGAAAGACTGGAATGCAACATTTGGGTTCAACTGGCAAAAACAGATAACGTCTCTCATGTCTATCTTTCAGAAAAGAAATTACACCATTTTCCCCACTATTCCAAACAAAATTGCAACTCACGCTGGCTATCTAAATTAGGGCACTCTCATCCTTAAAATCCCTGATAATGCTGTTAAAATGTTCACTCCATATTTGGCAACTTCAAATGCCACATGTGCTCATATTAGAAATTGTACCTCTCAATGCCTGTAACTTCCTAATAGTATTTGGCATTGTTCTAGTTATGAGCCAATACTAAATACTGTCCTTATCTGTTTAGTCCCTTTGGGATGCCTTGTACAATGCATCCCATTCCTATGCAAAATGTTCATAACTAAAATACTAGCTTCTAATGTGGCAAGAAAACCTAAACTATAAAAAGAAAGGGGAGAGAGAGGCCACACTGACTCCATTTTGCCCTGAACACATCCGTTGGACAGTGTTTTGGTAGAAAGTGCAGGCCTTGAAACATTGCCCCTCTCTCCTCCAAGGTAAAAACATGAGGTCTCATTAGGACAAGAAGCAAACATATTATATAACCTAAGCATGTGCATATGAGTTTCTTTGATCTTTATCTCACTAAAACCTGCTTACTTATGTGGACCACGCAGCAGCCATTTTGCTGACCCTCAGTGTGTGAGCCCCTTTACTTTCCCTTTGCCTGCAGAACCCCTACACTCTTTGGGACTCATCACCTTGCCACTTGCTCCAACATCCTTCCATACTCCTTTGATACACCCTAAACAGAAAACTTGCCATGTCTAACTTTTGATATCCCCACATCACTTCTATTTTGGGCTTCTCTTTTATAGTAATAATAGTTGTAAATCTATCTCAGAGAGCATTTCAGTATTTATACAACATCAATGATCAGCCCAAGCTTTAAATTATTAATTCAGAGATGACAACATTGTTCCATTCCACTCAAACAGATATCACATAAATATGTCCATGGAAATTTCCATGCTCAGGCATTATTCTGTGATGGACTTTGTGCTTAGTAAGCACACTTTACTCTGCCCTTGCTAACAGTTTAACATCTGTGCTATATTTTTCAGAAATTGAAATCTATGGCTATTCTCACTTAAACAGTCTGTGGGTAGGGTGTCAACTACATAATTAAGTAAGATAAGAAATTTCTTTTGTATTGCTTTGTATGGTACAGAGGAGTTCACCAGGTGTTTGGCAAGTGCTCCTCCACTGAGGCACATCACCACATTTCTCTGAATTCTTGGGATCTTTGTCAATACCGATCATGAGTTTGGAACTATGAGGTCATGCTGGAAATTTAGGAAATCATTGTAAATATAAAATGCTTGTTTGAGGAGAGCAGGTGTGGCTATGAGGTCGTGGGTCACAGACATTTATAAACTTCAGGCTTCTAGATCTGTAGCTGATGGAATGAGAGCAGAGACCTAACTTATTACTGTTATGGCCTAGCTCTAACCAATGTGCCTCTGTCCTGTTCTGTACGTGGCGTTTCAACAGGATTAAATTTCCATTTCCAATAAAGACTTAAGTTTCAGCTCCATGTAAATCCCCCCACCCCCACCCCCTTAGGCATGTTTCTGCAAGGTGTGCTGTTCCTGGGAAATTGTTTAACCGCAGAGACCAATGGAATGTACCAAGAATCCCAGATGTTATCTGAAATAGGTCAACAGCTTTGCCCTTTTTAGCTTTAAAAATCCCGCTGTTGGTCTATTAGGCACCCAGTCTTCCGTGTTGGCTACTGGAGGCTGCATCGCCAGGCCTGGAAATAAAGCCTTGCTCCAAATTTCTTAATTTCTTGCTTCCTTGGATTTTATTCCGGGGTCCGAGCTATCACAATTACAGATGCACCCAACTCCAAACCACATCGGAGTCAGGGACTCCCCACGCCTCTTCCTCTGCCCAGACTGTTGCGGGAGCAAGGGCAGCAAGGGATTTCAAAGGTGGCATTATGTGGGCTGGTGGGCAGAGTTCTAGGGACCCAGAACTGTCCCTGCCCCAGTGAGAGATAAACGGGACAGAGGATGACTCACTGCTACCCCTAGAGAACCTCAGGGTCTGACGCTAAGCAAGCAGGCTCTAGACAGGACAGCCACTTCTCACCACTTCTAACTGGTCTCAACCTGATTCCACCCCATTACACTGCTCCCATCCCATTACCTCACCATTGCGTAGCTCGGAGGTCTCCCAGGTTATTTCTAAGCAGTCCACAGCGAATAGAAGCCACAAAATGCGGTCCAGCAAACGTCTAGCTCTTCCCCCGACACACAGTAGACGCCAAGACACAGGAAGAGACCACCTACCTTGGCCCGCCTGATTGGACAGTTCATACAGCCCGCCTCTTCAGCACTGATTGGCTCCTGCTCTCCTACCCTGCTTCCCCACCAAAAATAATTACAGAAGCAAACGCCGCCTTGTAACTGTGGATCCCCAAGGAAAGATTGTGAAGACTTCTGGAGGTGGCTGTCTTCTGCAATGTTGACTTCAGTTCGCCTGACGGGTATTTGCACTGAAGGGTTTTACCCCAGCCGTTTTTTCTTTTTCCCCAAATCCATTTTATTTCAAAGATTTAAAAAAAAGGTGGGGGGGGGGGGCGGGGAGTCCAGGGTTTTAGCTCAGCGTCATAAGCGCCTGCCTGGCAAGCGAGAGGTAGTACGTTGGATCCCCGATACCAAAAGAAAATAAAACTAAAACAAAATTTCAAAACATGTCAATCAGGGGGTCAACAATGGTATATACATTGTGCATTGTCATCCCCATGTCATTCACCCAGAGTACAAGACATCTGCATTCACTTTTCCAACAATCCCAGCATAAATTTTCCTCGTCAGTGAACTCAGAGAAATTAATAGTATAACTATCCCATTAATATATATATATATATACTCATATACATGTTTTTATTTCAGCTTTTCACCCTAAACGAAATGACGTTTACACGTGTGTTTTATTTCACTGAGTATGTTCGCAATTTGCATCCATTTATCTATAAAAGACTCCAGTTTATCTTTCTTTATAGGTACTCCATGACATAAAAATACATCTTTTTTGCCCATTGCTTAGCCAATGGGAATTTAGGTCCAGGATCTGGCTATTACAAACTGTGCTGCTATAAACATGGGTGCAGATATATCACTGTGGTATGACGTTTTTAATACGTAAGGGTAGATAGCCAGAAGGAGAATAGCTGAGTTGAATGGGACCTGTAGGCCTAGATTCTGAGGAATCCCCACTGATTTCCACAGTTGTTGCAGCTCTCTGCATTCCCATCAACAATGAAGAAGGGTTCCTTCCCCCCCACCAACTACCTACCCCTCCAGTATTTGTTGTTGCTTGATTTCTTGATAGTAGGCATTATTTCTGGGATAAGGTGGAATCTCAGTGTTGTTTTAATTTGCATCTCTCAAATGACAAGTGACGTAGAACATTTTGTCACATATTTATTTGCTGTATCTATTTCTTCATCTGAGCACTGTGTATTTCATGTCAGATGCACATTTTTGGATTGGGTCTTTAAATCTGGGAAGACTGAATTTTCTGAGTTTTTATATGTTCTCGATAGTAATCCTTTGTTTGAGGAACAGCTGACAAACATTTTCTCCCATGTTGTGGGTTGTCTCTGTACTCTGTTGGTGGTTTCTCTTGCTGTTAAAAAGCTTTTCAGTAGGATGAGATCCCAGATGATTCTTTGTGATAGTTCCTGCCCAACCCGCGATTTGTTCATAAAGTCTTTGTTTACATCAGTGTCTTCAAGAGTTTTACTTACTCTATCTTCCAACAGATTTAATGTTTCTGTTTTAATATTAAGATCTTTGATCTATTCTCATCTTAGCTTAATACACATTGAAAGATATGGGTCCAGTTCATATTCAGCATGTGTAGAGCCAGTTTTTCTAGCACCATTTATTAAAGAGGCTGTCTTTCTTTCAGTGGACGTGTTTGGCACCTTTGTCAAAGATAAGATGTTTTAGTGTGTCTGGGGTTGTTTCTCCACCTTCTAATCTGTTCCTTTGATCTATAGGTCTGGTTTTGTTTTGTTGTTTGTCAGTACCACACTTTTCATCACAGTAACTTTATAGTATAATTTCAAATCAGGGATTTGATGACCCATGTTTTGTCTTTGTTGCCCAGAATCACCTTTGCTATTCTAGGTCTCTTCTGGTTCGAGATGAATTTTTGGACTTTTTTGTCTAATTCTGTGAGATATGCAATTGGGCTTTTGATTGGGATTGCAATGAATCTGGATAGCAGTTTTAGAAGTATGGTCATTTTCACTATATTAATTTTTCCTACCCAAGAGCATGGGATAGCTCTCCATTTTGTAATATCGTCTTGAAACTCCTTTTCCAGTGTATTGTAGTTTTCAATGTAGAGGTCATTTACATCCTTTCTTAGATTGCTTTGTTTTTTTTGGATGCTATTGTAAAAGGTATTGTTTCCCTGATTTCTCTTCCCATGAGTTTGTTATTCTTGATTATGAAGACTATTGACTGTTGAGTGTTGACTTTATAAGCAGCTACATTACTGAATTTGCTTATTAAATCTAGCAGTATTTTGGTGGAATTTTTAGGGCCTTTTGTTTCTTTTTCTTGTCTAATTACTCCTGCTAGTTTCCAAGACTATGTTGAATAAGTGTGAGGACAGCGGACATCCTTGTCGTATTCCTGATTTTAGAGTGAAAGTTTTCCATTTTGTCCATTTAGTTTGATGTTTACTGCTGGTTTGTCATAGATGGCTTTCATCAGATTGAGATAAAGATTATTCCAATTTTTGTAGGGCTTTTATTATGAATGGGTGCTGGACTTTGTCAGAATCTTTTTCTGTATCTATTGAAATGACCAAATGATTGTTGTCTTTGGCTTTGTTAATACGGTGTATTATATGTATGGATTTCTTTATGTTGAAACATCCCTGGATGCCTGGGATGAATTCCACTTGATCATGGTGTACAATCTTCTCGATGATTTTCTGCAGTCTGTTTGCCAGTATCTGATTGGGGATTTTTGCTTCAATGTTCATTAGGGAGATTGACTAGTACTTCTCTGGTTCTGGTATCAGCATAATGCTGGCTTTCAGGAGTGAATTTGGAAGTACCACTTCCCATCCAATTTCATTAAAAAGTTTGAGCAGTAGTGGTGTTATTCTTCTCTAAATTTCTTCATTTACCCATGCCTTTTCATGGCTGCTCCTAATTTCTTTCAGGAATCAATGGACTCTTTCCATAATGGGCTGCAAATGTTTTCAGAAGAATTCAGGGTCAGTCCCCCAGAGAGGAATCAATCTGCTGATCTCAGAAAACATTCTGAACCCAAGCCATGGCAGGACACAACAGAATATAGAGAGGGAAGGCTGTGTGACAGACAGCAGACTTCATTTGGAAGATTTTTACCCTTATCCTCTCTATTATTTTTCCAACTAGAAACCCAGTAATTGAACAAAAAATGAGCACAATTACTATGTAAAGTGAAAACATTACCTTTAAATGATAGTAATAGTCTGCAGCAGAGTAAAGATGAAAGAAAAGCAAACATGCCAATTCTCCAAGACAAGCTGGCTACTCATTCAAACTTATAAAAATCCTGAATTCTGAAAGTGATCATAATGACAAGCATGGGGGTCACAATTATTGCTGAAATGGAACCAAGTTCCTAATCCAATGAAACATTTCCTTCTGATGAGGCAGGGGACACCTAAGGACTTCAAACTCTAAGTTCCCCTTGCCTTATAGTTACCTTGTCACATATTGTCACTCTGCTCTTCAGGATTTTAATATTCCTAGAGGGCATATATTCCCTAAAGCCATGTGATCCACTTGATAACAACTTGTCTTCAGAAATGTGTAGGATATTAGTATAATCACTTCTATATATTTATGTTGGAGCCATGTGAGTTGGAACCCATGGACCAAATCTGGTTCCTGAATCCTTCCTCTCAGGCTCCTTCACTGTTCTCTGGCTCCTTGATCTCATAAAAAAGTTACCTTTTCTTTTTCACTTCTATTGTCCAAGATATTTCTGCATTGGAAACAGTCAAAACCAAACTTCCCTCATGGAAACAATGAGATAAAGGAATATATTTTTATTAAATTCGGTAAGTGAAATATTTTATATCTGTATAAAACTAAGGAAATAAAGGATAGGGGATTTATCTCAATGGCCAAGGGCCTGCCTGTCAAGCATCAGGTTGTGAGTTCAATCCCCAATACCAAAAAAGAAAACAGAAAGAAAGAAAAACCTAATATTATCCAGCTAGTTGTAAGTCCTAAATAATATTCCAATGCATCAACTCATTCTTAAACTAATTATGAAAATGAGCTTTTAATCTATGACAAACTTTGACAGTTTTTTCATGTATATATTTTAGCCTGACTCCAGCAATTCTTTCCTGTACAATTCTATACAATCTATTCTCTGTCATGCAGGCAGAACATCCACAGAGCAAACAGGCATGTGGTTATGAATTCATAGTTCAAATAAATGAGCTGCTAGAAACACCTAAACTCATGTTATACAGTACTTAGCAAGTTGATGGAGGCCTCCTTTATTAGTTATCAATTTCCTTTTAAGTATTGATGTAGGAAAACTTATGCAGACTATTCACAATGATGGGAAGAGGTATATGATCATGCCCTCTGAGAAATCACTATAATATCCCTCAATATGTTGATAAGGTAGTATAACACCTCCACTACAGATACTGAAGTTTAAATGCTACTTATCCTATCTGGAAGTTAACTTTCTGTTGGGGTTTGTGCCTAGATCCCCAATTCCCCAAACTACTGCATGGCAGTGGCCCAAAAGAATGAGACAAGTGGCATTGGTCTTTAGGGCTGCAGGAGTGAAACCCTCTGCAGAGCAGGTAACTGCTAGCTGGCCTACTGACACTAGGCAACCATATTTAATTTGAACATGCAAGGACTAGGTCCAATGGAGGAATCCTGAGCAGGATCTTGGGAAGTTTTCAAGGACACCTCAGAGCCACAGATGATGCTAATAAAGGAAAACTATCCAGAAAGTCTCCAGGTGGCCTCAGCTGTGACCTATCTTGCCCCCTGAGGGGTCTCCTCATTCTCAGTTCAATTATGCCCAGACCATGCCACAGCCCTGCATGTGTATTCAGCTTCAAGGGCTCCAAAATTTTTCCATATAATTGCATGAATGACAAGCACACATCACTCAGGTCTCATTCAAACATGGCACTTTCTTTCACTCCCAGACATAGCCTTTCAATTTTACTGAATACTGATAGACATTTGCCCTATGTCATCACATTTATT